CACGTGAATTCCTGGAGCTGGAGGGAAGCAGCAGTGATTTGCCACTGTGATGGGGACAAAACCCTGCAAACCAGAGCATACTTGTTCTGTGCTGCTGCCCCTTGTCTCTACCCATCATGGGATCCATGATGCCGAGTCATCTCCCTGCTCTGTTCTGCTGCAAGCAAGTCCCATGTCATTCAAGAAACTGTGTCTGTGAGATCATCTATGAAATATTTATTTCCCTTGCATGCAAGAGAAGAAGAAGAAGCAAAAAGCCTGCATAATATTGATGGAATCCCTGATAGCCAAATATTGAATTATTTACAGACTGATTGTGCAAGTGATACTCAGAAGATTGCTTAGGCTGCAAGATGCAATTAATACATTTCTCAGAATTGGCGATTTCTACTTCAGACTTTGTTTTGATGCCTCAGTGAGTCCCTAAGAAACTTTGCAGAAGAGCTTGAATATCCACAATTACTTGAAATACGCACAGACTTTTCTCAGAACGCTTCCGCAAAATAGGAGAGGGCTTTCAAACCACCATCGAGCTGCTCAGCTAGCTGCCTGAAGATACAAATCTGGAGCCATTTCATATGCTCAGGTGAATCTTAGCTGGCTGCTAGCTGTAGCTCCAGAAGGGCACAGATGTCCCATAGGTATTGTGTTACATCTGAAACTCCCAGACAAATACCCTGGATGCCCTGAGGCATCTCAAATGGCATTAAATACGTATATGCAAGACACAGAATTGAGCCTGTGTGGCTGCTGACCCCCGCAGACCTCCCAGCACAGGGAACAGTGACCAAGAACTGCAACAATCCCTATGCCAGAGCAACCTTTCTCTCCTTTCCACTGCTATGTTTGCTGTGTAGCTTCATATGTACTTCATATGTGCACTAAAGGCCCTCCTTTCTGCCCAGCCTACAGCAGACAGACTGGCCACTGAACCCCAGCTCACAGAACTTGGACTTCCAGACACACAGCTTTTCTGTCCAGTCCCAGGTACACAGGAAGATGTGGCTGTTGTCACAGGGGCTTGGCTATTTCTCTAATGCCAAACTTCTCTCAAGCCCTCTCTCTTTCATTCATAAATCCATACCTTGACATCTAGAGTAGCCCACACGTTGTATTTCTTAAAACACTCATATTCTCTATCCCTCATTGCATTCTACTCGTAGCAGAGCTTTGGGCAGATCACCTCCTTTCCAAATGCTTCAGCAGCATTTTGTGACCATCCCTTGAAATCACTGGAACTGAGCAAGGCTCTGGGCAGTCCACTCTGGCCTTAGAATGGTAACAAGAACAAAAAAAAAGTAAAAAAAAGAGAACAGTCTAAGCCAGTATTACAATGCTGTCCTCTCCATGCCTAATAATGCTCAAGATGAGACACTTCACATATGTCTCAACCCTTACAAAGTCTAGTACAGCTGTAGGTTTTAAAGAGCCAGTGAAAATTACTTATGACAGATTAAGGAACAGAGCAACATACTGCAATGGTCTCTTGTTAAACTGAAATATCTGATCCAAACCAAACAATTTCAGCCCCTTGTTGAGCTCTTGCTTGTCTTGTTGGCCATCTCTAGCATTTTTCTGCTGACCACCATCATCTGAACATGCTTTACTCAGATGTACCCAGATTGCCCCAGAGCAGCTTTGCCATGGATAGCATTGGCCTTGGCTGAAACAGCCAAGAAAGCAGGTTTGTAGGTAGCCCATCACCTGCAGGCCTGCACAGGTGGGATTTGTTTATTTGGTTTTGATGTTATCAGGTTTTTGTTCCATTTAGAATTGGCAGGCAGAGGGGGACAATTAAAGCCTTTGCTCATGCCAGCGGAAAATGTATTCATTTCAGCCAGGTACTTTTCTTTCTCTTTCTTCCTACTCCCCCTTTTCCTTAAATAAGAGACAAAGGTAAACAGACAGATGATTTTGCTTGTCCAATAAACGCCATACATCTCAAAAGCCAGTAAGAAAACAAGCCAGTATCTAGACAGAAGGACCGGAGGAAGGAAAACAGCGACATGATTTACCTGAAGGCAGTGGTACTGTTGGGATGAGATCCCAGGTTGGGAAGGTGATTGTGCCTTTACAAAGCCAAAACTTAGGTAGATTAAGAACTTTTTTGTTGTTTTACAAATATTATTCGGTGTCTAAAATGAAAAAAAAAGGTGACCAGCTAGAAGTAAGTTTTTACCCCTCTTTTCACTTTGTTTGAAAGTGTATCTTGAAAGCAAGGTAAGGCTATGGGCAGCTTTACTGTCTAGATTCCTCTTCAGTAGAAGAGGAACTAGATTGTTCTGAGGCAAACGAATGCAGATTTATCCGTGGGCTGGAGATGATGTTAGGTCACTTGGACCATCAGCTCTTTGGAAAATGAGCTGTAAGTGCATTCTTACAGGATCCTTCTCCAGACTCTTTGAGCACAGCAAAAAAGACCCTATCTCCACAGAAAAAAAAATAAGCTATCCGCCAGCATGGTTGATGCTTTCTGTAGCCTAAGTACTGCCAACTGCTGTCCCACAACCCAGGTCTCAAGGTGATGTATGTACCCGGCAAGGTGCTCTTGGTTTCCTAACAGCCCCAAATATGAAAGGGTGAGTTTGGTGGCAGTAGGCTTTGTACACTTTTGAACACACTACTCTTGTTAGAGATCCCTGCTGGAAAACACTTCTTGCTATAAACAGGTTGGTGAACATAGAAGAAAATGGGCATGCATTGCCCATTTGCCTCTATCCACGTTCACTTGTTAATCTGCTTCTTACCCCTCTTCCCTGTTATTCTGCAATAGCTGTTAGTTGCCAAAGAAGCTGAAGAAACAGTTAAAATGCTTCAGAAAAAGCAGATAATTTCTCACACACAGTGCTGAGTACCCAGCAGATGTGACTCAAGACACACACACGCTGTTTTCAGTCAAGTATTCCCAAGGGTTTAGATAAAAATAATAAGGATGAGGGGTTTCAGCAGAAATCAGGTTGTTTTTAAGTGGAAGGGCTGTAGGGGGTATTAATAGGGCTGCTTGAAAATTATGTCATCTTCTTGTGTGGTGTATCCCATAGCATTAGTTGTGTATAATTAAAAAAAATTAAGCCAGTAGTCAGGCTAGACAGGGATTCCAACAGGAAAGTGGTAACGGAGGTTACAGCATATTGGGTTGGTTGCAAATACCAGATAACTTCTGATTTACTAGAGGTTTCCAAGACAGAACAAATGAGATGCCGGGAGGTGTTCACCCCCGGATTATGGTGACAAGTCTCAAGAGCCAGAATTTGACCTGGTTATTTCAGTCACCACAGTTCAGCCAACAAGGAAATTATACAGTTGGAGAAATGCTACAATGGTCAAGAGCCAGATCTCGGTTGACAGAGGGTGTTGCAACTTTACTGAAGCATGTGGCCTACTTCCAATGTTAAGAGTCCATGAAAGATTTCTTCCCGATATCCCACTCCTTAATCCATGCCCAGCATCTGTCATCACACAAAAAAAGATGGAGGCAATGCAGCCAGCATTACAGTAGGTGACTTGCTGAGCCAGATGCAGACATTTGCCATCTTCTGGCTGTGAGGAAGACTGGATAAATTAGGAAAATGGTTTTGTTATCCTCATTCACCTGAACAATAATCAGCAGCCAACTCCCATTTTAAAAGGTGGCCTGGCAAAGAGTCAAAAAACGAAGTCCAGTGGCAAATAGGTTGCAAAGACAAACATAAACAACTAAGTCTGTGGTAATCCACCGTCTTGAATGGATCTTCAATATCCAATACCAGGATTTTCTGCACTCAGGGATTCATAGCCTGCCAGTATTTTAAGTCATGCCCATAAAGCATATTTGAACAGAATTCAAGCGGATGAAAAGCAAGTTGTTACTTTTAAATGGGTTTGGTGACTGTGTGAATGGAGATGATGGCTTCAGTCCAGCAGATGACAATCCATTAAATTAAATTAAAATTTGCTGGCACAATACTTAGTGCCAGGAAAGGTGTGAAAGAAAATGAGGCCCCTCCAGGACGTGAACAACCATATTTCTGGTGCCACAGATGGTGGCTTGAATGGCTGCAGGTTTTTTTGCCTTGCCTTTTGATAAGGCATAAAGATACTTAGTCTTCACTGTCTTCAGGTAGACATTTTAGATACAATAAACTCATAAAGAGACACAGCCCACTTGAATAATTTTCTAAACACCTCTTCCTTTCAAGTCAGCAACCCTCAGTGAAGGAGGGAGAAGAAATGAACAAACATCGAGCTAAACCCAAAACCAGATTTTTTTGTGTGTGTGTGTGAGATGAGCCTGGGAGAAGCAAAACAATTCATCTACCCAAGAGCAGCTTTGCAGGGAAAGGTTAAGGAATAATAAAGAGGGATTTGGATTGCACCACTTTACACACATTTATGAGGGAGAAATTCAACACCTAGATAACAAACTCAGTTCAGGTTTTACTTCATCTCTCCCTTCCCCCCTTTAAAGATGACATACTCTTCCATTTGTAAATTAATTTAAATACTTCCAGGTTAACAAAACGTCTTAACATTGACATGCCCCAAATTACAAAACAGAAACAAAACCTCTTGACAAAGGGTAAGAAAAAAAATAATAATTCGAGCCCAAACCTTTCCTAAGCTGGAGTTTATGGTCTGTGAGCTGGCTGCCCTCCAGAGTCTGACACAATGTCTGGAGCACCCAGAGCAGCTGGAATTCATTTTCTTCCTCCAAATATATGCACTTTCATATGAAGTCGTGTTTTGGCACTGCCGCCTAAGAGAGAGTTCAGTGCAAAAAATCTAACCCCAGCCGTGTTTCTTTGCAACCCAACACTCGCTGAGCAAACAACAAAAAAAGAAGAAGGAAAAAAACCCCCAAACAACTGGAGAAAGAAAAGAAAAGCCCTTTCCCTTCCCCCCACATACACAGACGACTGTACCAAACAGGGGGGGGCTATTCATGGCTATTCAGAAATAGGTCACAAGGAGAAACATTTCATTTGCAGATAAAACCAACACTTTTTTTTTTCTTTTTCTCCTTTTTTTTTTTTTTTTTTTTTTTTTTCTTTTTTTTAAATAAACATCATGGAGGCCCCTGGAAGGCGGTGGCGGTGCTTGAGAGTCGAAGTCCTGCTGATCCCTTCCACCTCCCATTCACGCAGGTCCCACACCGGCCCCGACACGCAGCCCCCCCTTGAGGGTCTGGACCCCCTTGAGCTGCCTCCTCTGAGCCCCAGGCGCCGTGGGGAGGCCGGAGAGGCAGTGGGGCCTCATGGGCATCACGCTGCTGCTCCTCGCCTGGGCTGGTATGGGTCAGGGGGGGAGGAGGGAAGCGTCCAAGGCATGCCCAGGCGGTCCGTCACAAAATCACACACTGGAGTTTGTGGGAGCCCGTGGCTCTGTCCCCTCGCCATTTGGTCTTTTTCTTCTTCTTCTGGCTTTTCTCTGGGATCTGTTGCCTGTTTTGCAAGATAGAGAGGAAAATAAGGAAGGTGAGACAGAAGGCTAGGTCGGCCATCAGCACCCAGAGCCCTGGGCAGCCAGCAGAACTGGCTATATGTATATTTATATCCATCTGTATATTTGCATATGTGTTTCCATATACCCTTCCACCACCATGTGGCTTTTCATGCCACACAGTTAACAAGAGAACCGCCTGCATGTTTAAGGAAGGAGGAACGAAGCCATGAGCAAATATTGGGTGTAACAGCAGGGATGTATGTCCTGCAGGGCACTATGCCTCCAGTTGCCCTGGTTGAACTTCTGCTTCCTGCCCTGCCAGGGTGGTGCTCTGGGAAACAGGGATACCCTAAGCAATGCAACGTCATCCATCACACTGCTGCTAACACTTGTTAGCGAGGAGGATGAAAGAGAGAGAGAGTGCACAGAGGAAAAACCCTCCTGGAAAGATCTGCTTTCAGCTGACATTGCCCTTAGCCAGCTTCTCTGCTGTGGACTTGGTTATGGAGCTAGGGCTAAAATCCAATAATGAGAACACAGCCTGCTGGTGACAGGGCTCTGGCCTCCCATGGAAATTGTGAAGAGAACCAGAGCATGGAGAGTGAGCTGAGCCCAGGAAGATGTCCCTGGCTGTCTGAAATCACAGCCACCAGAAACACACAGCTGAGAGCTGTGACACCACACTGCGGGAGCCCACATCAGTCAGGTGCGTTGTGAGCAAGCTCCGAAATGTGACCTTGAGGGCGTCTCCCTTTTGATTAAGATGAAACATTACCTAAATACCTGCGTGCAACTATACCCGTTTGCAGCAGCCACTCAGTTAGTCTGGTGGTGCAAATTCAACAGAAGGTGGCTTTGTAGTTCAACCACCCCATAGGCAGCCCATAGACTTAGATTTTACTGCAAGATAAACCATACAGACACCAGCAGCTTCTGTAGATTCAAACAGTGTCTAGAAAACCAACCTGAGAGTTTGAATTGTTCAAAACCAACCTCTTTGCTAGGTACTGTCAGGCATTAAACTGAGTGTTTAGACCACGTTATCCAGACTAGGTTGAAACATAGCTGGGGGACAAATCACTATGGCTTTAGTTGATGTTTTTCTTACAGCCTCAGCTGCCAAATGTTTGCAGCCACTTGGAAAACCGAGCTCTAACTAATAAGACCTTATTTTTTTCAGTGAGCACAAAGGCTGGAGGCATGGAAAAAAAAAAATCAAACCACTTTAAAGCTCAAATCTAGAAAGCTGAAAAAAAATACTTTAAAGTAAATTTGCATAAACACTAAGTGGCCACAAGCTGTTCACAGTGCTCTGGATCTGTTTTATAAAGCTCCAGAAAACCACGTCCTGCACCCACTCAAGATTTCTGCTGTGACTGTCCTTGTGTATGTACTGCTGCAGAATAAAAAGGGGTAACATGAAATAATAATTAAAAAAAAAAAAAGAAATAAAAATCTATTGGGTGGACTCAATCACTCCATTCCTTTCTGGATTACTTCCAGACAACAGTTTCTTGCATGGAGCTAAATAAACTGGGAATCAGCCAAGTGCAAGGAGCACAAACACTGCCAACCCTGAATGAGTGTCCTCAGCCTGCAAACTCACATGGGTTCTATGGAGCCTCTACATTTGTAAAGCTCTCCAGGAATGACACAGTTATTAGGGAGCTGTAATTTACTTTTTTTTTTTTTTTTTAAAATGTGAAATACTTGGTGGCTGATGCATCCTATGGCTGTGGACAGTTTGCAACGTCCAAAGACTAAGCAAAGATGCATTGTGGCAAATGACCTGCTAGATCACACAGCACCTCTCTGCTCTCTGACTTAACCTGAGTTCCAGCTCTTGTGAACATCTCTGATGCCTCTGATGTCACGAAGGGTTTCATCTGGCTGGCAATGATTTCTGTAGAAACTCCTCAGTTTCACCTATATTTGAGGTTATGGAGTGCTTGAATTTAATGATGCCTCATTACAGTGCTCCTTCCAGCCTGTCTGGAGTCACGTTATGTAGAGATAGCAAACAGAGCCTCACCATCTTATTTTGGTTATGTGTTTTTTTTCCCCCAATAATAGAATAGATGGTGGTAAGAGCTCACTGTAACACAAAAGTATTATCTAGCTAGCTAATGCTGAGTTACAGAACAGTTGGGAAATAGCTTGGGACATTTCCAACACAGCTCTGTAGTTCTCCAAAGACTTTCTGCCCCCTGCTTTTGAGACATGTGGGAAGAGTGGGCAGTACCATCTGCTTTTGATGGAGGCTGACTCGAGGCTGTGCTAAGATATTCACAAGTACAGATATGCTGTGAATAAATGCCTCATGGTTTAATTGCCGAGTGAGGCACTTTGACTGCACGTGGGGGAGGAGCATGATTTCAGCTCAGCACCCTCCCAAAACATGAAAAATGAGGGCCCAGAAAAGTCTGGCAGACAACTGGTGCCAGAAAAACAAATCTTGGAGAGATTTGAGGTTATCAGCCAAGAAGCCGAGATGTGCGTGCAGCTCTTTTCCTGCAGGGCAGCCGGGATTTTGGAAGGCAGTCCCTTCCCACCAGCACTTGGAGCAGGGGTTCGCCTGAAGAGCGGGCGTTTGCCAAAGCAAGCCAAGGCAGCTCACGCCAAAACTGGGAACAAAACTCTGCAGTCTGAGGAGGAAACTTTGGCTTAGCCATTAGGTCATGCTGTTTCTCATACAAAGAGGCTTAATTTTTTCCATTTAGTGAGCAGAAAAAGTTAGAAGTCTCCTACAACATCAGAATTTTGTAGAATTTTTTGCCAGTCATTTTTAACGTCTGGCAACATGAGACCCTGGGAGGACAAAGCTATGAAAACCCAGATTAGTGGTCCAGAGCTTTTAACACCAGCCTATTAAAGCTGATCATTATAGTAAGCTTTGCACTGTTCCTTGTATAATATATTTTCATCATGGCCACAGCTAGTTCTCAACCTGCCCAGCACTGACGTCCTGGAAGGGTAACTAAGTGTAAGTAACATATCTATGCAGATAAAGGGCAAGAAAGTTTAATAAACTCCAGAAATCTCCCACTCCCAATCAAACTACGTGGACCAGGCTCCCCAAAAGTTGGCTCCTGGCTGTCTAGGCCAGGACTTCTGCACATTCCATCCATGGGCAGTGAGCAAGTGAAGAGTTTGTGGCTTACCTTATTACCCTCACAAGATCATGGAAGGCCTTGTCAACATTTAAAGGTGGGTCCTTGGCGCTAGTTTCTATATAGGGAATCTGGAGGTGAGAAGCATATCATGCAGGAGGTAAGTAACAGCCTACATGTTGGTAGCGAATCAGTTTCAAAATGAAAAACCCAAACGGCTGGAGAAATAGTATGCCTAAGAGAGCACGGAAATACAGGTAAACAAAGTGTTGTCATGACACTGCTATCAACACCTTCATGAAGATCAGCAAGCACTTACAAAAGGTCTGGAGTAAGCACCAGGCGAAACAGCTGCTAGCAGAGCTGTGGGCTTGGGGAAGAGTAATCACAGACTTCATGTCGTCAGATGTTCTCTCCCCCTAAGCTGTGCTTGCAGACATGAAACTAACCGAAGGTTGTTGAAAGATGAGCACTTGCCAAAAATTCTTGCTTGCCACATTTTATTAGGACTACTGCATGAATATTTCATGACTACAATTCCCCTTCAGTGTAAAATGATCTTCTCCTTCAAACTCTGACAGACAGATGGCGCTTCCTAGAGTGCTTGTCCAGCATGCTGGCAGATCTATAAAACTGCCTCTGATAAGGTATTTTCATACACAGCCTTTTCCACAGCATGTGCATGCAGATGGGGGCAACATGTTGGGCTGCAGTTTAGGTGTCATGGCTCCTACAGAAATTAACTTCCTTGGGGAGAGGAGTGATCCTGCCCTGCCAAATTCCCACCATGGTTTGTTTAGAACCACCGCACAGCTTGCCATTTAGGCACAGCAAGCTTCCAAGAGGTCTCAGGCTTGTCTGACTTTACCTTGAAGGTGTTTTCTCCTTCTGGGTATTCAGGACTGCTGGCATTTAGAAGTGATTAGTGGAGCAGCATGCGATCTACACCAATCCAAGAACAATTTCTCAGGCTAAACTATGGCATGAATAAGGCCGAGCTAAAATGGTGGGATGGATGTATATAGGCATAACAGCTCTGTAATGTCATTATCTTTAACAAGCTCACTTCCTACAGATACCTGGATATACTTCCTAACGCCTCACTCCACCTTTTCACTCCAGCAGCATACACTTGGCTTCCCTTATTTTGAACATTTCACACTTCTCACCACTTACAGACATCTTGTAGACACAGCTTCCCGATGGCCACAGCTTTGCTATAGCCTAGTGCACTAGGTTCTCGTTTCAGTGATGAAGTGGCCCTACGGAAAGGAAACTGCATAGCTGCTACTTTGTAGTAGTTTAAAATGTAATTGCAGACATTCACTTGTAAGAGAAATGCTTTAATTCAGCTCCAAATGAGCAGAGTTCAATTCTGAATGCTTGTAGCAGGACTTACAACAACCAATTAAACAATCCTACAAACTTACATTGTGTTTTGTTGCCATTTCTCTTCCTTGTTCCCTTGTAATTTTCCGTAAATGCATTAGATCAACTTTGTTTGCCACCAAAATCATTGGAAAGGACTCTCTGGAAAAAATCAAACCCACCACCCAGTTATTAACAGACTACCATGAAAAATACTAAGCATAAGTTTCAGTTTTCTGATACTGACATCATCTAACATTTTCAGCTACAGACATAGCATATATAAGCAAAGAAATATATAAAAAGCCCGAATTAACACGCATCAGCCCCTAAACTATGGTACACATATGCTGACATGGTAAAAATTTACCTGACAAGTTGCATGCGTGCACACATTCATTCTTATTTGCAGGCACTTCAGGAACATTGTGTCATCATTTTTGCTGATAATAGCTAAAATGAAGACCCAATGTGTGAAGACCCGGTGAGGTGAAAAAAGAGCTACATAATTAGTCAGGAAATTAGTTGAGACACAGAGACAGATCTTGAACAGGAGACTGGGACTCCTGTAACAGTTAAGATACCTCAGTAGCTGCATATCTTGGCAGCTGCTCATCATTGCAAGGCAACAAGGTATGGTGGAGGAACTGGTATCAGTCTGTGTCCTGGTCATCCACTAAGAGCACAGGTGGGGCAAGAAAAGATGGACTCTGGGAGCTGCTGCTTGGAGGGGCATCAAATGGGGGAGAAAATGACTGGCAGCAAAGATCCCCATAAGCTTTTATCCCATGACAAACTAAAAGTCTGGCAGTGGCAGCTGGAAGGAGGATGGAGGGAATAAGAGTCTTGGTAAGCTTCCAGATGCTACTACCTATCATCTGCTTTTGATCCCAGAACAATGAACACCAATGAACGACGATCCTTTTGTACCAAACCCGCCTACCTCTGTAACAATACTCAGTATTTCTGTAACTTTACCAGGCATGTAACTGACTGTCTTCAGCCACCGCTTGAGAAGACACCCATCTCTACACAGCATGTCCAGTGCAAGGCTTCCCTCATGAGGTGTGCGGGTCAGGCTCTTGCCTGGTAGAAGCCCCCGTGGCTCTGGTGATTACACATTACCAAGGCAGCTTGTGCCACGGGAGATCCTGCAATGCAGCTACTGCCCACCCCACCTCCCATACATGGGCCCCTCCTCCAGCTACATGACACAGACAGCAAAGTTGTGCTGCAGGGCCTTCACCCACTGCCAGGAGGGAGGAGGTCCCTTCTGATAACTGACAGATATTGCAGTATTGTTTTCTTATATTTAACCTTAAATCCTCCTAAAATGATTTCAGTGTTCCCTGATGCAACAGAGCTGATTTTATTGAGGTAAGGAGCAGCTGGCCACACTCATTTCTGTATAAAACACTTCCCTGAGTAACTCTGGATTTTCAAACAGTGTTTTTGTGTCATTTTTCATCGAGACGATAAGGGCTCCGTCTTCTTTCTGGCATGTTGCCCCACTGCTCTGGCTGGAAAAATACTGTACTGCATTCTGCATTTTAAATGAGTCTTACAGTTGTTCATTCTGATAATGTGGCTTTGATTTAATTTTAATACCTGAGCATTGATATATCTTGACTCTGATCATTCTGGAGCAAAGCACTTGCTGGATTATTTGATTTCTTTTTGGCTTGCAGCATGCTGATAAGAAAGGGATTATATTTAGACAGTATCTCATTTTCCTTGTTTACATCAAGCATAAAACTCTATGGGGACTTTGTTCCCTGTTGTAAGCCATATGATTGCCAGTTTGGACAAAGCTACTATAGTGGGAAGTTTTACTGTAATGAAGGTTACGGAAAGAAACAGGAGGAAGGCTCTGAACAGCTCTGCTAATGAGGCAGCCTATGATTCCTTTGGATTTTAAGCTGCCAAAACTGACTTCTAGCTTGAAAACCAGCACTATGCTCTGCTTGCAGCTACCTGTGGGTCTGGAAGGATGGTTTCTTTGCTTACACTGCTCCTGTTGCTGCAGTTTTCTGAACAAGGTCAGGTTTTGGATGAAGCATTAATCTCTTCGCGCTTCCGTGGTGCTGAGCAGGAAAACAAACCCAACCTCACCAGCCTGTTTCACTTCCTGATTCTCACACACAGGCCGCAGCCCTTGCAGGGTGTACGGAGAGGTAAAAGTTTCAGTCCGGAGCAAAACAATGAATACTGCACCTTATTTTCACAAAGTTAAATTAGATAAAACCAACACTGGTTTGGGGCAGGTTACACAAAACACTGTCCTGTCTTCTTCAGCTTTTAGGAACAGATTTAATTTGCCCCAAGCTGAGCTGGCACAGAAGAAAAGACTGTTGTGGTCTGGGAGGCAGACTGTGTGACTGACGTTTTTCTTCATGTAGATGAAATCAAAGGGTGGTTTTTCCTTTACTTTTCACTCCTGTGGGCTCCACTTTGGATGCTTTACTGGAAGAGCTGTCAGCTGTGAACCTCACATGATACGAATCCACCCTTCCTGTGGGGAAGTTATTCAGAGCTACGAAAGGAAGCCAGCAATGAGGCCCAAACCCTCTAGTGGCTTTTCTTGATGACTTCCATAATTAAAAGTCATTATAAATGGAAAAACTAAGTGTTTCAAAGCTGCAGACATATAAGGGCTTAATTCGCACCCCACCCAGTGGGGATGGATTCATCACCTCTTGAACTGGGATGGGAAAAGGGAGTTATCTCAGAGATAAACTGGCAGCTTCCCCTTACTCTGTCAGGACTCATTTGCTTGCCATGATTAAACTCCCAGCGCTGCCTTCTCCCATGCATGTTGAGTAGGGGAGCACACAAACTCTCTTGCTGTCTCCCCAGACATGCAGAGGTGTTTTATTAACTGAAAATGGTTGCTTCAGAGCACAATGCATTAACTGCTTTACACTGCTTGTAAGAAATACACTCCTCCAATGTGAGGCATTTTCCCCTTCAAGACACTTGGTCACAGCCTCAAATCATGCAGGACCTTCTAAGGTTTGCTTGGCAGAAACTGAAGCCAGGGAAAGGAGGATGGTGCCAGGACACACAAAACAATTAAGGATGAATGAACACTTGCTGACTCCCTGCTGGTGTTCCCAAAGTGCCTGCACTGTGTGCAGAGCATCCTTCCTCCCTCTTCACAGCCAAACTGCTTACCTTCAAAGGTGTCTGATCTGCCTTTCTCACACTGCTTTGCTAAAACATTCTGGCAGGGGTTTCTCCCTTCCAGACCCATTTACACACCATCATAACACTACAGAACTTTTGCACGTTGAAAGCACATGTTTATCAGAAGAGGTAAAACACTTCTTACTTCTCATATGCAGGTCCACAAACCCCTGCAGAAGGTAGGGTGAGACATGCAACCACCCCCATGGCATGGTCTCCAGAGTGGGGGGGCAGCAGCACCTGGCTCCACAGCACCTACCTGTCCTTGACTCTGAGGATCAGCTGGTGGAACCGGTCCACGTGCTCGAAGCTAGCCTTGTCCGTTACGGAGTAGACAATAAGGAAACCATCTCCAGTCCTCATGTACTGCTCCCGCATTGCACTGAACTCCTCTTGGCCTGCAGTATCCAGAACTAGGACAGAGGAGATGAAGGCTTTTAGTTAGCATGAGGAGCTGCAGCTGCTGTCAGTGCTACGTCCTGCATGGCCTTTCTGCTTCCACTGGGCTTGGTCCTCTCAAAGGCTGTGAGATTTGATGAAAGCAAGTTCGATGGACAAGGTGGTTTCTTGTTATGAAACAAAAAACATTTCAGACCCCACTCGTCACCACGTGTCTACACTTGGAGTGGATGGAGGGGAAGAAGACTACATGGGTTTTATTTTCCTTTTCCAGTACCAAATACTGACCATTGAACTTGGAGAGTTTCTCCTCTGGCAAGATACGACTCAAAGTATTTCACAGCCCTCTATCTTTCCCTTTCCCAACTCTCTCTGTTCACTGCATGGAAAACCCCAAGACTGGAAGCGTAAGTAAATGCCAGTTTAAATACCAGGGATAATCTACAAACTGCATGGTGAAGCATAGCTGAGAGACAACCCAGAATAATGGCTACAAGCATTACCCATTTCTCAATACCTGGATGTTATTTCTACACAACTATGTGCTTTCAGAGGAATACGGTACAGCCTTCAGGAACTTCCCTTAAATTTTTAGTTCAAAGTGGTGTGCTGATCTTGAGAAGCTATAAAAACCAGTGGAAAAGCTTTAAGTGGCTTGCATATCCTATACAGTGATCATGTTTCTGTGCATTGACAAGGGCTAAATCTATGCTCAAATCCTGTAAAACACCCGGTTGTTGCAACAACCCAGGTTCTGTTTCCTACTAGATTAACCTCCTCTCTAATGTGACCATAACTCACCAGTTCTCCATCACTCTGCCTTGCAGGGGGTCCCATCAGCTACATCGTGGACCACATGAAGAGCAAGCTACACCAGCCTTCTGGGCTAAACACCACACACAGATGCATAGGTCAATGCCGGCTCTTGGGGCCCAGCTTTGTACACAGCCAGAGTTTTGACTGGCAGGAGAAGAGTCCAAGAGGAGTTTGTCAGTTTAGGCTATGGCAGTACAAATGTGGTGTGAGCACAAAGTGCATTGGCTGCTCAGACGTAACAGTCCTAATGCATCATAGTATCCTAGAGGCAAACACCTTCATGATGACTAGCAACGTATTCACATCCCAGTCAACTGGGCTGGGTGGGAACACTGTTTCCGCCTCCACTGTACAGCCACAAGGTAAGCATCTGCTGCCCACAACTGACAGGGAAAGCCCAGGGCACCGTGGATGGAGCCTGTGGCAGGAGTGTACTGCTGACAGAGCAGCGGGGCTTGACACGTGTTTTTCTAGTCTGAGCAGACCCACAGTCCTGGCAAGATGTTCCCTGTAGGGGTAAGTACCCGGGCTGCCCCAGTTTCCGATGGGACCATGATAAAGATCACTTTGCTGCTGGTGTTACCTGCTGAATCAGCGCAGGTAGCCACTGGCAGACATGCTGCACGTCACAGCACACCCCGTGAGCCAGCCCACACACCTTCATCATAACCATACATCTGGAGGAAAGGCAGCTATGCTGGAGGACCTGCAGACCTTGGTGATGGCAGACCTTTTAAAGCCTTCAGCCTCATTTGTTCACCTGCCTTAGCTGGTCTTGAATGTCTATTTCTATGACCTCTTAAGGTGAAAAAAGCTTCTAGGCTCTTACAGGGACACTCAGAGTTAGGCTTGTTTGCCAAGTGGCAGGAGCTTGCTGAAAAGTCATGGGTGCCTCTTCATAGGCTTTTATGCTGCATCTCCCCTCTAAATCTAGGAAACAAGGGTCTCAGGTCAAAGGCATCCAGGCTATTCTTAAGGACTGTACAAAAAAGAAAAAGGAAAATAGACAAACAACTGAAAGACTGCATGTGCTGGTGAATTTCTATGCCCTGGGCAGAATTGCTACTATGGAATAAAGCCAGGACCGCGTGGCTAGGATGGAAGAAGAAATTAATGCTTCCTACCCGCCCAACCTGCAAGGAGAAGCTGGGCTGCCCTCATCTGACTCCTGCACCACCTGGACACAACGTCAGGGCAGGCCTGAGAGCTGACAACTAACACACACAAACACAGTCCCTTTCCATCTCCAGCACACATACCCCACTTGTGGTGGAGTGCGTTGAGACAAGGCAGGTCTATTGCCCAGGCACAAGCGATAAGCAGGAAGGTGGAGATGGATGTCCCATACCCGGCATGGTAATTTGCTTAGGGACTTCCCCTCACTCTGGCACTTTTGCAAATCTCCCATGAAATACACGAGAAGCATCCAGCTCTGCCCTTGCACCCATCCACCCCTCCCCAGCTGCTGCCCCTCCAAAGCTTTGCATCCCCTGCAAGAGGGCAGGAGACAAGCTGGGGGTGGGGGGCCGTGTGGATGCACAGGACTGCGCTCCTGCCACTCCGACCTCACCTGGGTCTTGGCCATGGCATCACACTAGTCACAGGCAGAGCTGCTGTGTCAGCAGGCATTATTTAAAGGGAATTCACTTGCAGCATTCGTAGAAAGGTGAGCAAGTCCAGGCAGCATTTAAAATGGCACTTTGGAAATGCAAGTAAAAAGACATACAGCTGTGAAGGTTAAGGTTAATTTCAGATGGGTATTCATGCAAAATTAAGCACATGGTTTAGTAGTGGACTTGGTAATGTTAGGTTAATGGTTGGACTTGATGATCTTAAAGGTCTTTTCCAACTGAAATGATTCTATGATTATGTGGATTGCCAGAGAAAGTTCTTTTTTTAACCTTAAATGCGTTCTTCATCAAGACAGCTCCTCCATTCTAACACTTCTGTGCTACATGAATTGTAAACAATCAGAGAGGAGAGTCTGTTCTCAATCCTTTGTAGGCAGGATGCGATGGCATCCTGGAAAGCATCAGCACTGAAAAAGGGCCAGATGCAAGAGGCTTTCCTTCTGGTGTGATCTCGTGGCATAAAAGCTTCAAGAAGACTTTTACCTATGGGAAGAGGGAAAGCAGCAAGGACAAACCTTGGGAAGGTGAAACTGGAAAAGGTGATTTTACTACCTTCCTAAAGAGGTGAGAAGAATTAGGGTGTTAGCCAGTATTCACCTTCTTTAAAAATTCCCATTTCTGCAGACAGGTTGCCAGAAGACACAAAAAATAATCATGAACAGAGAAGAACTGTGAATGCTTTCTTCCCCTGGTACACTTTAAACCAGCAGTTGCCTCTTACTGGCAGTTGCCCCACTGGCAGTGCATAAAAGCCAATGTGGAAACAAGGCTGGACTAAAGCACGGCGGGTTTCTCCTACCTCATTCTTCCAAGAACTGAAAGCAGATTCAGAGGCTGAGCAGCACATGGCCAGGGACTTCCAACAACAAACTTGGTGAAGTTCCCACAAACTTGACCAAAGAAGCAAGGAGGAGCATTAATAGAAGTGTTTGGGTAAAGATCGAGAAGAGAGAAGCCAAGGACTATGTCTGACTAGGAACAGGCATCCAATAGAGGGCAAAGCCATTTTACAGAGCTATCACACAATCAGCTGGAGATTAAACTAAGAGCAATTAGGCTGTAAAAGCCCAGCAGGAAGGTCTCTTGCTTTGAAGGTAAGAGATTGCTTAGTGAAGAGATGGTCTTTTCTGCTTTCCAGTGAATGTGACCTTAACTGTTGTGATGAACCCCTTACTAATTGAATCCTGACCCCACAGAGCTCTACACACCATTTTCCTGTGAATCTTGATGGGTTGAACAAGAGTGCTTAGAGAGAGCTTCCGAGCAGATACAGAAGCCCAGGGATACGCAGGAACTGTGCGGCCCAAAATAGAAGCACTTGGTGCTTCCAGGTATTTTATGTGGCAATGTCTCTGCAACCAATGGTGCTCCGAGTGCCCATCTGGAGGCACAGGCATGTAAATCTAAGCTAAGGGCAGAGACATACTACGAAATCTAAAGTCATGGCATTGCTTTTTCTAGGGCCAAAGCTGGATTCAGTTCAGATTTAACACAGCCTTCAGGGACCTCAGATCTGGTTGTGCAGGTGAGTTTCTCTTCTCTTTTTATAAATAGGAAAAATTCCCTCCTATGTCTTTATCTTTACATTGCTGGGCAGCTAGGTGTATAGATCAACTCAAGAGAGTTTCTCCACTGTCCATGGCATCTAAGGGACCAAAAATGACCAGAGAGGCAGGTTAAACCCATTTTCTACCTTTCAGCCTTTGGGTTTCACTGCCCAAATCAGACACCAGCATCCCATTCCAAGCAGCAACTCAACATTTCTGCAGCCAGTCCTGAACAGCTCCATGCAGCTCTCAGAGCACTTGGCCTTCCAGCATCCAGAAGGCCTGCTTAACATGGAGCTCAAGCACAGGATGCAGTTGTTTGTGCTTACCTTGATCTCATGCTCAGTAAAGTAAGCACAACGTGTATGACTTGATTTTTGCAAGTAGTCTCCAGTGAATGGCTTTGGCTACTTAAATCCAACACACGTGCAAGCCTTTAAGGGGCTGGATGGGTCAGCAGGCAGATAGGAACCTGGGTTCACAACACCAGAGAGAGAAGCAGCATGAAGGAGTCTGACTCCAGGTGTTTTCTGCTTCTTTGACTTCTTAATATAAAATACTGGAGAAGTTCCTGGAGCAAAGAGCATAACTGGGAATGTGGCACTGTCAGGGGACCACAGGTTACGGAGCTGCACTCCTCGTTGTGCTTCTCTCTCCAAGTCTTGCCTTCCTCTTGTCATTGCAGCTCTGCTTCAAAAGGTGGGACCAGCGAGAAAACCATCCCCAGCTGCCCTGCAGCTTGGTAGCTAAGCTGAAGGGAAAACTTAACTTGAATTGAGAAGTCAAACTAGAGTCTCAGGCAGTGGGAGAGGGCACCCATCATCAGCCATTGGCTTCAGCTGAGGGATTAGTATTCTGGGTGCTGAGCAGATGTAGTCCAGGGGTCATGGCTTATATTCTCTATTCCCACACCCCAAGTCACCCTGAAGAGGTATGAAGTGCACATGCCGTGCAAAACAGGAGGTAAAGGCTTTACCTTGTCACTCCTATACTTCTGCTCCTTCTCAGATACAGCTACACTGCCTGCAGCATAAGAACTTTCCTCGGGGAAAACCATGAGACAGCGAAACACTGGGGCTTTTATGAGCCCTTCTTCTATGCCCTAACTAAATACACAGATCTAATAATATGGAAAACCCGAGTACTTGAATTCTTGCCCTTTCTTTAAGGAAAAATAAAAGAAGGACTTTCAGAAGAAAGGCTTCCACATCAATAAACAGAATGAAGATGCGAGCGCTTAAAGGAGCTCTTTCTCTAACAAAGGGCAAGTACTCAAAGTCTTGTGCTTTCCATGTTGCAACATCAAAATTTTCCTGGCAGGAAAAAAAAAAAGGTTGCAAAATCCCAGCAATTAAAGGCGGTGAAATACTGTACACACAAATCAAAGAATGAAAGTACAAACTTAATTTGAATTTTAATTCTTTCAATGATGCTACCCAAAGTTTAAATTAAAAAAGAGAGCCGCAAACCAACTCGCTTGCCTGCGAGTCTGAAGTGACCTTTGATCTCCCTCTGGCCTCCTGGCTGAATTGTTCCCAGGCTTCCTGAGGAGAAAAGCAGACAGCCTGTCCTGGGATGACCAGCAGCAAAAGCTCCCGTCAGTAAGGGATGCGTGTGAGACATGGGTGGAAAGGGCAGAGAGGGAGCCTGAGGGAAGAGGTGGTGCCTGGTGTAAGCCAACAGGGGTGCATGCCAGGGCTGTGAAGGTCTATCTCAAAGCAAGGGCACACAGGGATTGAGAGGAAGACTTGGAAAGAAGAGAAATAAAATAGAAAATCAAACTTCAGGAGTATGAAGACAACTTCTAGGCAGTGAAACTTTCATCTAAATCATGCCAGGAAAAGGAGAGGGGAGGGAAGAGGAGAGAGACCACAGCCCACAGGCACAATTCCTTGCTTTGCTGATACCGACTGGCACAGCCCTACTGACAGCTAAGAGTTTAGCCCAATTCATCAACATGTCCAAGCAATGCACTTGTGGCCATCTCTTCCTCGCCACTGTTGTATCTCTGTGTGCTTATGAGCCACAAGGAAGTTTGAACCATTGGGAATTATTTGCCATATTGAGGTATTCCACTTTTGGCTTCATGCCCAGGTTAATAATTTCAGACTGGCATTTTGCTGCCACTCCAAAATAAATCCTCTGCTAATTACTAAGTTAGCCTGCACACAGAAAGGAGAGTACAAAATTAATGATAGCAGCTTCAGTGGGGCAACACCTAATCATACTAGATTAACCCTGGTCCCCACTTAATTCTGACCTGTTGGGTCTACATGGCACCTGTGTGTGAATGCATTTAGCCAAGCACATCACCATGCTATTTCAGCATGAACACCAGAGAATAATTGATCATATGCAGAGAAAACTGGGGACTGGCAAGCCTCATTGGGGTGGTAGCAACTGAAAAAAAAAAAACAAACAGAAAAAATGGGCTAGCCACAAATTGCCTGTGCATTCTTTATTCAGGTTAAGTGCCCTGTTCCACTCCACAACATTTGTCCTCCAAACACTGCATCAATGGTCTTATAAAGCTGGTGCACAGCCAACAATAAAGTATTTTTGTGTAGTGTTGGATTTGAATACACCAAGGAAAGGTCTCACAATCTTCTGGGAGGCAGGGAACTATCACAGACTCTTCTTTGGTAAGAAAACAGACACAGAGACATGCCCAAGTCAGAGAGCAAATACGTAAAAGAAGAGTTTGAACACAGGTTTGGCTCAAGGTCTAAAATCTGAAGTAAAAGCCCATTCCATTTAAGTCTACTTTCAGTGAGAGATTTCAGCAAAGGAAAAAAACACAAGTCAAACATTTCATCGTGCTGCCTGTTAGTGTTATTGAATAAATGTGGGTGGAGGTCTCCATGGAAGGAAGCCAAATGCTTTATGCAAGCTGGCTAGCACAAGGGGGTTTTTATAACTGAATGTTGGTGCAAATACCAAATGCTAGAGATGCTTTGTACAGAACTGCTCAGGCAACAGCCTGGAAGAGGGTGGGCTGTTTTTTTTTTTTTTTTTTTTTTTTTTTTTTGTTTTGTTTTGTTTTGTTTGTTTTTGGTTTTGTTTGTTTTTGTTATGAAGTTGTTGGATGCCAGTATATTTGGCTTTTTTAAAAAGTGACTGTTTCTGCAAACTTAGAAGCTTATGGAGCTCCTCATGTTATATACCTATATCCTCACTTGGTAGTCTCAGCTTCTAAAACTAGTTCCTATTTTGGGGGTGGGCAGCTTCTTCCCACCAAGCCCTGTACAAAACATCAGCTTGTAAAGGATTTGGCTATAAAGGACAACTGGAAAGTCTAGAATTTATCATGATAGATCTTTACCCTTCCTATCATGTTTGTACCTAATTTTATACTATGAGTGATTCATGCAACCACATCTAACCACGAGAGCAGCTGTCCAAGTATAGGGTAACCTCCGAGAATGGCCTAGATCCAAACCCTATGAGAGGAAGCTATGGCAGAAGACACATGTGAGTCTTTATGTCCTGTTTCTACGAGACAGTTGGTAAAGGCTCACATGCTTTTCCAGCAAGAATATTGCTCTTCCAAAACTCTGATTGTTCAAAATCTCAAGTGGTAGGAAAAAGGGGGAGAAGCTGCAGTTTCAATTCTGTGGCTGTGGGCACAGGAACTCTGAAAATCAGGGGTTCCAAAGATGCCATTCAAGGCCACAGATGAATTCAGTTCAGCTCAAGTATAGCCACTAAATTCCATCTGGGCAAAAGGAAGGCTTTTTCAGTAAATCAAAGGGTTAAGTTTCTGCTTGTTGGAAAACAACCTCTTTCCCAAACTCCCACCCAGGTCAGGGCTGGATTTTTTTTTTTTTTTTTTTGACTAAACAACAATTCCAAACATTCAGTGAAAGATGCCTTTCTACTTTCAAATAATTCACAAAACCCAGGCTGTTTCAGCCAACAGCAATGTGTACAGCAGCTGGTCCTATTATATCAGAACATGGGACATAGCAGCAAAGATAAAGGTTGCTCATTTTAGAGGGCTGGATTCTGCTGAAAAGAAAGAATGGATTTCATTTGCAGCAGGAGTGGATTTTTCTTTTATACCACACTGGCATTTTAAAATAAAGGTGCACAGGTACATTATGCGATGGTTAATTAAGAGGGCGTATCTCTGATTCAGATGACAAGAAGAGACACATTTGTGCACCAGCTTAACAAATATTCTCTTGTATCAGCTACCAACTACTAACATATTTAAATAAACAAATGTTGGCAACATTAAGTTGTTTGGGTTTTTTTTTTTTTTTGAATACTGAGTAAAGGCTGTTCTTTAAGGACTTTGGGGCCATATGTACTCACTAGATTGTATCTGGTAAATCCTTAAGAGTGCAACTAAGATCTCAAGCTTCCAGACCAAGCTTACGGGCTTCAAAGCAAGCCCCACAAGTTTCCATATTCTACCACTCATGCCAATGCCCTAGTTTTCTGTGCTGCACACCAATGGTACATACACAGATAGATCAAAGGTCTTGAGTGCCTTCATGACAAGAGGGTGGGCATAGGAACTTGACACCAGTGAGGTTAAATTTAGCTCAGTGTGTAGTGTGTTAGTGGTGGCATACATGAACTTGGGTAATTAAGACACAAAATATTTGTTTGTTTTTATATACTACCTAATTATTGTAAAATTATTAATAAATAATAAATAATAAAATTATTATTAAAGCCAAACAAAACTTACAACATTTAACACTAAGATTCGCCTGATGGCTGTGGTCAGTCTGTCTCTTGCAGCACAAACAAGCAAGTTGCAGCTTTAGGTAAGGTGGGGCTTTTTCCTCATCTGTAGAATAAAGATGGTTTGGTTTTGTTTTGGTTTTGGCTTTTTGTTGGCTGGTTTTAGTTGGGTGTCTTTTTTTTTTTTTTTTTTTTTTTTTTGATTTTTGTTTGCTTTTTTTTTTGTTT